CCCAGGCACACACGAGAGATGGAGAGCTCTGGTGGGAATGGTGGCTTAGACTCAGAGGAGGGGGAGTGGAGAGTTGACCCAGTAATGGCTCAGAGTTCTCACTGTGATATTGAAGTTAAGACTAGTGAGGCCCCAAGTGGCCAACTCCTCCTGGTTAGCCAACCCAAACCAGCTCTGGATCAAAGTACTTCATGTAAGCCCCCTCCCACTCCTGACTGTGGGAAAGAAGCCAACAGAAAACAGGCTGGGGAGGGGTTCTTGAGAGGAGAACTTGACACCCCAAGAGACATGGACATGCAGACCCATCAATGCACTCACCGGCTTGACCAACTGGAAACTCAATGTTAAGAGTGTTGGCGTGCCAGCTTCCATAGTGCACCCCCCTCCGGAGACTGGCCCCAAAGGGTTCATAAGCAGAGCTTTGGGTAACTAGGGTCAGAGTGAGAGGTCAACTTTCTACCTGGAGTGTGTGTTGCAGAGTTTGTGAAATACCTTGTAGATTTATGGAATAGACTCTTTTAATAACTACTTAAGTGCTTGCCTCATTTGGGAAGGGACGCCTAGCTCACAACAGCAGGTGGAGCAGTACTTGAAGTATTGGAGGAAAACAGAGGACCCTACATGAGCCTACAAGCTCCATCTCCTGACTCCCCCTCCCATTTTAGTGAAAGCCTGTCCATTCTCATAGCCTTTTAATGCAGCAGGTTCCATCTAACTTGTAGTTCAAGCACTGGCATAAAGTGAGGCTCAGGTCTGATGACAGTGGGCAAGTGGATACACCAGAGATATTGCCCTCCAGGTGCAAGGAAAGTGCACACCGTTCTACGTACCTCCTAGGATTTGGGCATTCTGAGATACACACAGGGCCAGTCTGAGATGTTCAGCTCCTCAGATGCCTCCTTCCACTTCCACATATAGAAGCCAACTGGATTGGCCATTGAATCTGCACTGAGAACAGAAAAGTCTTCTCCACCACAACAGGGCAGGGGCACCACTACTCCCTCCATGCCTCCTCATCTGTATTGCTGGTACAAGAATGCTTCCTGTGAGCAAAACAACTCATGTGCAGATGCAATGCCTGTTAGGATCTGTGGCCTGGACTGCCTGCTTCTCCATCTTCTTGCTTAGTCAGGGGCCTTCCTGGGGACACACTGTTGTCTGCCATACATTGGGAGAAGGCAGCTAGGTGAGACAGACAGACCTCCTAGGTCAGCAACAAGCAAGCATTGTTGCTATCAGGGCCCTGGCTCAGGTGGTGAGAGGAGGAATAGCTGCAAATTGGGAATACTCAGGGTGAACAGTGGAGGGTAACTGTTCCCTTCTTCCACCCAAAGCAGCTCCCTCATTCTGCCTTACAATAGGGCCAGATGTGCCAGTATTTTTTAGCTGCCCTACTTTTCTTGATCCCACTTACATTACAAGTTAAATACTTTAAAGGAGTTAAATGCTTTCAGGACTGAGTGGAAGCCTCCAGTTTCTTCTTTTTAGATGCTCAAAATTTGGCAAAGATGTCTACAGCTGCTTTCACAGATAGCAAGTACACAATCACTGCTGTATTACAGGAAAAAGGGCATGTTCTTTAGAGTCAGAACAGAGAAGCCCTGAAGCATGTTTTGAAATTTTTCTAGCAGTGCCTTTCCAGCTTCACAGAATACAATGTCCAAGTATTTCACAAAATGGCGTTGGAGAGGAGAGGAGAGGAGAGGAGAGGAGAGGAGAGGAGAGGAGAGGAACAGACGAAAACAGTTGAACAAGAACAAGGAAGAATAAAAGATGTACAGATTACAAAATAATACACTGCCTTTTAGTCTTTTTCTTCAAGAAATAGTTAAATATTTTTATATGGATAATCAAGAATGGAATAGGAAGGAAAAAATCTTCACAATACTGTTGAAAAAGCACTAATCTTATTTTTAAAGGAAACTGAACACCAAGTGTTAGCTCCAGTCTTAGACATTTTAAAAACAGACCTATTAAAATTGATAGGAATTCAGTTAGTCATATCAAAGGAAGTTTGATTGATTTCAATAGGCTTACTCTAAGAATGACTAAGGCTGGGTCCAACCTATCATTCACATGTACACAAGTAAGCAAAGGATTTGATTAGTATGTGATATTTTGCAATGAACACAAACTAGTGGCATGCAATGCAAACACTGCCATTTTCCTCACTTCATGGGTGCAATACTCATCAATTCCTTGCAGCAACTTTCTCCAGCCTGGTCCCCCAAAGCTGAGCAGGGGACCCTGGAAGTTGTTGCTCAATGCACCAGAAGGCCACTGAGTCAGGGCTGCTGGCTCACAAGATCCTTCAGTGGATTTATAAAACTAACTTTCAGGGCAGCTAATTCTGAGTCCAACCAGAGTGATGCCATGGAAAAAGAAAATATTCAGTGGACGGGAAACCTGTTCACTTTCTGAAAGCAGACAAATACTGAAGGTGATAAATGGAAGGCAGTGTGTATATCCCTGCTTCAGGCTAACTTTGGGCCATCAAAAAAATCCTGTGTGAAACGGGAGGCTCCTGGGGTGCAAGCTGACTCCTCAAAATGAATCTTCACTTGTTTCTTCTCTGTCTCGAAACCACCATGAGGCCTTCTTGTGATTTATTTATTTATTTTATTTATTAAAACATTTTTATGCCACCCCATTCGCCGAAGCCTCGGGGCGGGTTACAACACAAGACCTGCAGGTTGGAATAGCCAGTGGCCTACATAACACAGAAGTCATTTTTGGTTCCTTAGCATAGTGGGTTGCCTCCACCAGAGACCCCCTGTGCTTCAAAGCCAAGGAGGTGACCCTTCCTATGTTCTGGAGCTTGAGCTGCCATGCAGCACAATGTGAAGACAGATGGGGGTCCCTACTCTTCCTACTTAATGTTAGGATCATTCTCTTTCCCTTACTCACTAGCACTGTGTGAAGTTTGACTATCTCTGGAACAACCTCCCATCCAAACCGATCAACAGAATAGGCAGGAAAATGTTGCATCCTATGAAGAGCAGGGAGTTGGACCCAGTGGCCCTCTGGCCCCCTCCAATTCTACTATTCCATGATTCTAAGAAGACCACATAATGTAAGGTATTTGTGCGTTCAGCCCTAATTCTAATTAACACTCACTTTTTCCAAGTTCCCTCACATTTTCACCTGTGTTCACATAAAGTGTGTGTGTTCACACCACTTTGCATGAGTCAGTAGGCACATGAAAGGTCTGTCTGGCATGCATTGAAAACTTTGGTTGTGCAACATCTCTCCCAGTTAAACAGTTCTCCTGTCTCTTCATCAAGGACCACCACGAGTCATCATTTCTTATCCATCTTGTCCTGGCTTACCAGGTGGAATCTAAAAATACCTCCTACACTAAGCCAGCTCCCCATAAGTGAAGCCTTTTGAATGTTTTGATGTGGGGTCTTTGGACAGACTAGTGGAAAATAAATAGGGAGGGAAGGGCACATGCACACATACCTACATGGAAAAATGGAATTGCAGGGTGACTTTTAAAATATGACAAATATGCAACTAAGGAAAGGAGGATACATATGGGAATTTCATGGATAGCTGTGGTTGGAGAACTGCCTAATGGCATAAATAATCAAATGAAGCTGCAGCAGCTCTTGGGTAACATGTTAAGGGCTGGGTTAGACATTTCTGACAACTTAATTGAGGCTCATCCTGCATGCGAGGCTCAGTGACATGGTTCCTTCCCCCAGCAATTTGTTTGCTTAATGCAAACCAGCCTCGAAGGCTGCGAATGAGAAAAACAAAAAAGCCACTTAAACTTCTCCCTCCTTTTCCTTTGTCTGATGACAAGCAGATGCACACACCTCCAACCCATAACTGGGAAATATAGAGAGATATATAGATCATTTTCTTACAGGGAGAACAGTAGCTTAGGGGTGCTCCCACACTTTTTTCTCTTACTGGTAAGAAAACAGTGCAGGGTGATTGTGAGCAAACAGATGCTAGTAAGAGAAATGGTTGTGCAGAGGCCCCTTCCAGGAGGGACCAGAGGCTTGTGGTCCAGGGTGAGTTTTGTTTGCATGCAGAAGTCTCCAAGGCAATTCAGATTAAAGTGATTAGGTAGCAGGTAATGGGAAAGGCCTCAAACAGAGACTTTGGAGGAAGATACTGCCAGTCAAATTGAAGGATGCTTTGCTAGAAAGGTAAATAAACCTCCCTGATATAAGCCAGCTTCTTTTGTTCCTGCCTCCTACCCTCCACTGAAGCTTTCAGGACTATGTTGCATTTTTATAAAATCATACTCGGGGGGGGGGGGGGGAAAAATCATATAACTGAGCATCATGTGTAGTTTGAACCTCAGCATTGAACCCTTTAAGACACCACCCCACAGGGATGGTCCAAAATCCCAGGAATGAGCAACCCCCCAGTTCCAGCTGTTACTGTCACTTCCTGTGCTGTATGTACACATGCCTGCTATCTTAAGAAAATGCATTCACTGGGAGGGACTTAGATACTCAGTTCACACTGGAACTGAGTATCCTGCTTCCCACTGCAGCAGGGGGGAAACAGTGGAGCCATGGCACTGCATGGCAAGAGGGGGAAAGACAGTATGTAAGTGATGTGGGATATTGCACATCCCCCCAATCCAACTGAGACACAGACACACAACCTCTACCACATCTGCAGAAACATCCACCACCTGCCAATTGCATTTGTGTTCTTTCTGTGGTAGGAGAATAGGAAGCGGCCTGATACTGCATCCATGTAGCCCCATATTGTCAACATGGGCAGGCAGCAGCTCCTTAAGGCTTCAGGCAGCCATCATCCCTTGGCATATCTGCAGAAATTGGACATTGAATCTGGGGCCTTGTGCACATGAAGCATGTGCTGCACCGCTGAGCTCCAGCCTCTTCCTTAAGTGACATTCATGGGTAGAGGGAGACCAGATAAGAGAATCCTCTGCAGGAGGGACTGAGAAATGGGAAGGAGATGAGAAAACAGATGACCCCACACCACTTGACTTCTGCCTTCCACAGATCCTACTACTCCAAGATATGACACAGCGTCCACACCAAGAGCTGCAGCAGAGCAGTGACAAAGAAGTCCTGTCCCTTCCCATTGGCACCACTAGTGCCTTGACTTTGGATCTTCTGGTTCCACCTGCCCGAGACAATGAACTCCAGATTAGGGATGATCCTGTGAATCCAGTCCTGGTATGAAGTAAGGCGGATGTACACCCCAGGGCGGTTCCTCTCTGCACAGCCTTCTCCCCAGCTCACGATCCCTGCCAAGAGCCACTCCTGTTTCATCTTGCACATCAGCGGACCACCAGAATCACCCTGGAGAAATGCAGAGATGGATTCAGTGCCAAATTCTGTGTAATGTAGTGCAGTGATTACAGAAGGCTGGTAAGCCCTCTATTCAAATCCCAGCTATCTTGGCAACCATGTGGAATGACCTGGGGATGGGGAGCATTGTTGTGTTGTGAGCACAACCCTGCAGGACGGGTAAGACCATAAGCAGAACATGAAAGCAACTTCTCTTCCCTTCCCTGCTGTACCTAAACAACTCCATACAATGGCTTTTCTCCCTGCCTGGGTCCTTCCAGATATAATCAGGATCAATATCTACCTGGAGATCAATGGAAAAGGCCCTGTCTGTGAGTTCTGGGATTAGAGGGTGGGTCTCCTCTGACAAGAAGCCCTGAGAGCAAGTAGCCCCTCACCTTGCACGTGTCTTTCATGCCCTCAGCATATCCAGCACACATCATGTCATCTTGTATTTGTTTCTGGGGCAGACTCTGGCCCATGTCAGTGCTGTAAAGTCTTCTGCAGGTATTTGTATCTATTATGGGCACCTGGAGCTTCTGGAGCTTCTTTGGAGAGGGTAAATCCTCTGCAATGAAGAGTAAGGAACCATGATGCATTCAAAAGGATAGCAGACCCTTGCCCCTGTTCTCTCTCCACACAATGGATGGGTGGACGGGTGCATGAATGAATACATGCATGCATGAATGAATACAAGCAAGCAGGATGCAAGTTAGAGAGGCGAGAGCTTGGAGCCCTGCTTTCTACATGTGCTTTTGGAGAGGGAAATATATCAAGAAAGCTTCATAAGCAACAATGAATGCTTTTTACTGCATTTTCTCCCCACCCAACTCACATATTTTCAGTAATATTTACATATTTGGTACATTTATTTGTGAGTAATGCAAGTAAACATAAGCCAAGAAAAATTTGTTGATCATAGTTTCCAAGGATCTATTTGCTGCATATGTTCTCATTGCATGGGACATTGCAACAGAGAGGAGAGGATTGCCAAGGAGAGAAGGGGTTGGGGTTAGAGAAGCAAACATACAATTTGCAAGCCTGCCCACCCTTGAACTAGATGGCCCTGTAATCCAGTCACACTGCTGTTTCCCCAAAGGGAAGGAAGATGGGGCATACATCTTAGCAAGTGACTTGCAAAGTATGGGTAGGTCAATGTATATTTCTATGTTTTTCTGGACAAGAAAGGTCCACACAACTCAAGAGTTACTCCTTCTCACAATACTCACGTCCTTCACTGATATCCCCCCAGCCAGTGACCCAGCACATCATGCCTGGGGGAAACTCCACATTAGCTGCAGGCACACAAATTGGAATGATGTACTTGGTGAATCTCACTGGGTGAGCCAGCCGCACCAGGGCAATGTCTCCACTCGTGGCCTCCCCTGAATACCGGGGGTTCCTGATGATTTCTCCAACCCCCACGGATTGCTTGTGGAGCCAGGAGTTCTCCAGTTTGTTGGCCCCCAGCATCATGCTATACTGGAAGGGATTGTCATCTCTGCAAGGGGACAGAAGAAAAATTGCCATGAGGACAATTGCTATATCATCGGGATGGTGGCCAGTGACAAGTGAGGTCCCCCAGGGAACTGTCCTGGGGCTGATCCTGTTTAATCTTTCCATAAATGACATGGAAGAAGGGGTGAACAGTCTGCTGATCCAATTCGCAGATGATACTAAAACTGGAGCAGTGGCCACAACTGAGGAGCAGGCACTCCAGATCCAAAAGGATCTGGACAGACTATGGAAGTGACCAGGAGACAACAGGATGGCGTTCAATGTGGATAAGTGCAAGATCTTGTACTTGGAGCATAGGAATAGGTGTCATAAGTACAGGTTAGGGGACAAGTGGCTGGAGAGCAGCACTTGTGAACAGGACCTCAGGGTACTGGTTGACTGCAGGCTAAACATGAGTCAGCAGTGTGATGTGGTTGTTAAGAGGGCAAATGCCACCCTTGGTTGCATAGCCAGAAGTGTGGCTTCTAGATTGAGAGAGGTATTACTACTACTCTATATGACTGGTGCACCCGCAACTGGAGTATTGTACTCAGTTTTGGGCCCCTCATTACAGAAAGCATATAGCCAGGTTAGAGTCAGTGCAGCATAGGGCCACAAGGTTGGTGGCCAGTTTGCAGGGGATGGGGTATGAGGCGAGACTGAGGGAACTGAGTTTCTTCAGCCTGGAGAAGAGGAGACTCAGAGGGGACGTGTTGGTGACATACAGGTATGTGAGGGAATGTCACAGGGAGATGGGTAAAGACCTGTTCTCCCCTGCAGAGGAAGGCAGGACGCGCTCCAACAGAGCAAAGCTCAGGGAGTCAAGGTTCCATTTGGATGCCAGAAAGCACTTCCTGACAGTTAGGACCCCGAGGGTGTGGAATGGGCTTCCACAAGAGGTCGTTGAGGCCCCATCAGTGAAGGTGTCCAAAGATAGGCTGGATATGCACATGGTGGGTGTGTTGTGAGCAGAGCCAGCTGGAGCCAAGGGTCAGACTAGATGGCCCAGGAGACCCCTTCTGGCTTGCTCTGTTTCTATGTTTCTATATTGTGCACACTGCAGGTACTTGGAGTGAGGAGTGCATAGGAGATTAATAGAAGGCAGGATTGGAATGCAGGAAAGAATGAATTTAGGCTGTCTCAAATTTGCAAAAAGAAGCCAGGCTGAACATAATTAAATACATAAATGGAGAAAGTATTGCACAGACCCTCATTTTACAGCCAAGATTATTCTGACACCCCAGTTTGACTTCAGTCTAGGCTTGACTTGAAGTTCCTCACTCTTGGTATGTTTCAAAGAGCAAAGCTGGCAGAATCAAAACAAATTGGCTTGCTAAATAATTTTTCTTCAAGCTAATTTAAAAAATAATTTCTGGCCTTGTAGAACCTGAGCCACTGGATCAGATCAGAACTACTTGCAAAACTACTTGCAAAACTTCAGCTTCTTGGCATGTTGATTGAAGGAAGTGTCTTTAAAACAGAAGAGAGCTCCTTCTAAGGCCTTGTCTCCTTCAGAAATGCAAGTGGCAGTACCCTTAAAAACCCACAACAATTCTCAGATTGCCATAGTGAGCATCCCAGTGGTAGAAGATAATAGACTTGAGAGCTTGTCCCCATTGGGGTTAATGTAGCAAGCTACAGCATTGACCTAGAGTTGCAAAACTGGAAAGAGACAGATTTAGGCCAGGGAAAAAGGAAGGGCCAATGACAAGAGCCCATTTCTTGGATACTCACGGTCGGAAACAATGTGCCGCTGTCACAACCCACTCGTCTGTGATGAGAGCCCCTCCACATATATGCTTGCCCATCTTCCTCACACTGACCTGCCATGGCCATTCTCCTTCCACTGAGTCCTCACCCCCAACATTCCTGTTCACAGCAGTCCGTCGTCCACACACTGGGGAAAGAAAGGAGCAGAGAGACTCAAACGCAACACTGTGCACAGCCGGACTTCAATGGACACTGCTGTTGTTGTGAATACACACTCCCAGCTGCATCTTGCTTGGGTTCCCACAATGCATTTGTGTCTGAATTGCCACAATACCAACGTGTCCGGAACCTACAATTCATGCAGAGCATGATAAACTAGATATTAACACGGGCAGCCCACAGAGATCATGAGATTTCTCCCTAAAGCTAAGCACTGGCTTGTGACTCATTTGTGGGCCCAATTCAAACCACTGGAGATCTGGCCCCCAGGAATGCAACGAATGGCCTTCTGCCAAATGAACCTGCTGCACTCTGATATTAATCCCTTCAGCTGAGGTTATTTTGTGGAAAAGAAGTGCCTTATTTGGGGCAGAGACAAAACTCCCAAGACAGGCAACTTTCCTTGTATCTCATAACAATGAGTAGTTTTGAAAGACTCTGTTACAAAGGATTTCAGTCCTTCTGGCTTCTGTCTCAGAGGAAATGCTTCCCACATATGCTTTTACCCTTTTGATTCTTTTGTGTGACTGATATTTTTGGGAAGAAGGGAGTGTTGTAATTATTCGTTTAAAATGCTGTTGCTGTTAAGCACATATACTGCAGGAGAGGCATGTTTTAAATATATATGTATCTAAATATATTAATGTAGGTGCTCAAACTGTACAATGTGAGCAATTTATTGAGTCAGTCATTATTTTGCAAAGGTCAACAAAAGGCACAAGTTTGTTTGTTGGATATAATGTACAACACAACCTGTTCACTGAAAAGTAAGACCCACCAGGTTCAGTAGGGCTTATTCTCAGGCAAGGAAGTGTAGAATTACAGTCTCACTGTATTTCTGCTTGCCACCAAGAGGAAGTAAGGTTTCCACACTACCCCAGTTGTTTATTTGTAGCCATGAGGCCTCAAAAGATCAGCATGCTGAATTCAGCATCATATATTCCTGTCACCAGTGTGCCAAACTCACGCTTCCTTGACCAAAAGTGCAGTTGCTTCTGTGTCATCACCTTAAGCACAAGGGGGGAATCCTTCACTCAGCCCAGCCAACAAAAGAGACTCTACGTAAGTCTGTGGTTAGAGATGAACTAGCAGAATTTTGTCCCAAATTTTACACAGTGCAGACCTCAACTGGAGTACCAACAGCAACACTTTTCAGTGTCCCAGAGGGAGAAGATGGGGCTGTATTGTCCTGAGGACTTTAAAGGTGGTAGAGGTGCTTTTGTGTTGTGTTCCCCCCCCCCCCAACTTTCCCATGCCCTGCCTGTGCAGTGTACCCTCTTGGAGAGGTACCAAAGCCTATGGAAATGTCCTACTTGAAGAATACCTATTGCAAGTCATAGCCCATGATTGGTGGAAAAATACTCTCTGTTTGGATATGTGGTTTGTCTGGTTTATTTTTTGGTGCTGAGTTTTTTAAAGCAACTTTATAGTTTTACAACAATTAACTATTTTTGTGATCTGCTTCACCTAATTTTGGCAAACTTAAGCTGTTTTGGGAACTAGATTTGGGGATAATTATCTCAGCCATGACCAAAAGAAGCCCTTGTAACTGACTTGAGCACTTTAGAGAAAATAGTTCTAAACATGTTTTCAGTAAATTATAAAAACATACATTAATGAGCCACTCATTGTCGAATGAAGTGCAAACTCCAGGCTAAAAGACTTGGCCAGGATTCATTCAGAATTTGTTGCCTCCAGCAAAGATTCTGTGCATCTATTATTTGTCTTAAATATAATTTGAGTGCTGGACTTAGCACTGCCTTATGAAGGAAATTGGTTTATGGAACTTGGAATGTTTCATTTGGTAGGCATGTCATAAGCAGAGCCAGCTGAGGTCGGGGGTTATACTAGATGGCCTGGGAGGCCCCTTCTGACTCGTTCTGTTTCTATGATTCTATTTCTTCATTTAGCAATATTTCTGTATTGTCTGATAATTTATGTTCTCTTTGTCAAACCAGCAACATGCATCAATAGAAATAATACATCTGTAAATCAGATGCATGAAACAAGTGTCTATATCATGTTTTTAGTGGGGTTTCCTGGTATATATATTTTTCTATACATACTTGTTTGGACTAAATGAAAACTTACCATAACGGGAACGGGTCAGATGAGAACCTGCAAGAGAAACAGGAAGAATCAGTGTGTGTTACTGTGACTTACCCAATAACTGCAATTCTTTGGATTTTGTACAGAAAAAAAATGAAAGTTAACAATTACAATAAAATAGCACATGATAAAAGTAGGCATGTACAAGAATTTTGGTTCTGTTTGCAGATCATTGGAACTTTCTCCCATGCAAGTGTTTTTTCCCAAGAAAGTTTGCAAATTTCAGAATTTGCAACTGCATTCAATGCTCATACATTACACCTGCTGTGCATAAAAAAGACACATCTTCACACTTTTGCCAAGGGGAAAAGTCCATATTTGTGGGGGCAGGATGCACACAGAATGCACTCTTTTCCTATTTGAAAGCACACTGTCCCCATTCAAATGAAACAAATAAACAAAAATATCAGTGATGATAATAGGGGCATAGTGAATCAGATTTCAAACAATGCTGAAAAGCTCCAGTTGGTTCTTCCATTCCTAGTTAAAACCAAACTACACCTAGTTGCAACATTTAAACAGTTAGTAAAACACTCAGGTGGGGGGAACTAGTATCAAAAAGACCATAAAATAAACCCCTCGTGAATCTTTCCCCTGGGGAGCACATCACAGAAACAGCATGCCATGATTGAAAAGGTACTCAGTCTTGGAGTCCCTCATCCTATTTTGTTTTGAAAGAGGCAACTGAAGGAAGACATCAGATTATTACTTCAGGATCCAGGTCACAATATACAGGAGTAAGCAGGCTCCTAGCCATTTAGCACTTTAACAAGCACTTTGAACTGAGCCCAGATATGGACTCCTATGTGTGGCACAGTTCCAACATTATCTGATCATATTACCAAATGATAATGAGATTCAAGATGCTTCTCTGGACTTGTAGTACTTGACTGTATATTAATACCAATCAGTGACCTCACTCCATCAAGAATCACACAGTCATCAGGATGACATCACAGGAGTACTGATGTTGAATGGTCCCTGACAATAGCTGGGTTACATATATTTTTCTAGCAGCAAAGCAGGTATTTTGACAGAATAATGACCTTAAAAAAGAATTCAAAACGTTCCCATCGGTTGTGTATTTTCCAAATTAAAATAAAGAATCCAATGATGAATATGCCTTCATTTTTAGCAACAGTACATTTCCTTTATTCGTTTTAACTCCCCATTGCAGCCTCATCTGTAATTATAAGCATCGAATCCAATTTAAGCTACATGCTTAGCCACCAAGGCCTGGACCAGCAAAAGCAACTTACTTTAGAGTCATGAATACATTAGAAGACACAAAGATTATGTACAGTTTCTTGACTACACTGATGAAATTAGGGTTGTGCCACATCTCCCAGAACTTCCTGCCCTCACTGGATGTCATTCCTAATCAAGGAAGTGAGCCAGTTGAGATAATGCCCAGGAACACTAAGGGGCCCCTTCTTTGCCCTGAATTTAAGAGCCAGCCCATTGGGCTACCAAGTATACAAGCCCTGCCATCCAAGTACAAGGTGCATAATCCCTGCTGCTAGACATTTGCATCAATGGGCATGCCATGGCTACCTGCATGGCTACTGCATTCATGGCTTCCTCCATCACCACTTCAGTTCCCATTTTTACCCATTTTCATGTCATGGGTCCTAGCACATGTACACAACGTGTTTATTTTTCAATAGGAACCCACAAGCACAATGAAAGCATGCCAAGAAGTAGATGGAAGTCATGTGCTTTGAAGCTGCAAGCACACCATGGAACCCTCTTGTGCAGCAGTGCAGCATGTTTGCAAAGCTCACAAGTGATGCATGTGCAAGTGAGACCCCTCACTTGCAAAGGGGACAGTGCAACATCTACGCCACCCTTCCCAAGGAACATCTTGCACACCTGACAGAGGCAATGGTGGACTTGCTTCCTGCAAGATACCCACACAATGAATGGGTTTAAAGTTAGGTACGATTAATGTAAATCCCATTGTTGTCAATGTGTCTCCTGCAAGAAAATCTAAGGGCTTCTCAGTATGAGAATTTTAATCCACCATTTTACTGAGGTTTCTGCTTTCGTGCTCTTTGTGGAATTAAGAGTAACTCCTTTAAAAGCATTGCCCAAAGTTTCTTTCTCTGTTTTTCTATATGTCCCATTATGCAACCAGAAGGTGGCACTGCAGTACAACTTCTCAAAAGTATATGACCTCATGGCACAATTTCTAAATAATACCAGACTTTCCTCCACCAAAAACAAGAAACAAACATAAAAAGGGCTCCAGAAAGGAGTGCACAGCATGGGAAAGGCCATGGAAGAGAACATTCTTGTGAAAAGAACCTGCAAACTACTACAAGTGAGGAAGCATGAGTGTGCCTCAAAAGCTTTGTGTAGTGAGAGGGCAAGCCCAGATCCAACCAATTATATAAAACCTGGATTAGGGAGACATTGATGCAGACATCAGCACACTCACATATGGGGCTGATGGGTGGTGGGTGACATGGGTGTGTGCTTCATCCTGGCTCCCAGTGTCCTGATGCACTGGCTAATCAGTCTTTTGCATCTCAAATGGGAAGGTTTTAAGAAGGTTGTGTGAATACATGCGGCTGGATGCACTTATGGAGTTCTTGCAATCACAGACCTACCTCTTGAGGGTTTCTGACTGCAGGAGCAATGAAATCCATATTTGTCGTTTGTACGCAGAGAACATGTATTATTTAAAGAGTAGGAAAATGAGTCACATTAAGTCCCTGCATGTATATGCACTTTACAAAGGACAAGAGGATGGGACTCGCTCCAGAAAGCTTACAAAAAACATGAGGGAAACAAGAGAAAGAGATACAGAAGCTGTGACTAAACAGGGGAAGAACAGGGGGTGGGATCCAGGCTTAGTCATTGGGTCTTAACATTAGTTTGTGTATGTGGAATGATGGGAGTTGCATTGATATATTGTGTGTGTGTGTGTGTGTGTGTATCAATTCATAGAAAATGATAGAGGAGGGAGAGAGTCAAAAGGCAGTCCTGACCAAAAAAAACCCCAAAAACATAAGTTAAAGGTAACTTCATATCCAGATTCCACATTTCCTTGTTTTGATCGCTCAGCCACAGCTAGTTTTCTGGATCTGTACTGACTTGGCTTTGCTTCTGATTTTTGCAGTATTAGGCTTGGTGCTGCAAGTTACAGTCGGAGAAACAGAGGTGTGTCCCTCCGTGGGATTACTGATGTCTCAATCAGCACCAAAGCCACACTTGCAAGGATTTTCCTAGGAAAAGGTGCGGCATGCAGCCAATCCAACTTCTAGATTGTGGAGGTGATTTGGAAGCTGCTGAGAAAACACCACATAACAAAAAGCTTTTGGAAGTTATGCTGATCTTGGGGCTGCTGCACCCCTTTGAGGTTTTGGCTGTGACATGCACCGCTGTGGAATTCCTTCAGGCTAGAGACAAAGGGGAGAGGGGAGGAAGAAAGAATGGGTGTATCCAGCCACAACCCTGTCCCCTAGTTTAAGGTTGGAGAAGGGCTGCAGTTCAGTGGTGGAGAAGCTGCCTTGCATGCAGGAAATCCCAGGCCTGTCTCTGGTGACTCTAGGAGGGCCTGGGAAAGTTCACATCTGCAGCCCTGGAGAGAGATTGCTAGTCGCAGACCAGAGGTAGACAACATGGTACTTGTAGGAACCAATGTGCCCCAGATCCCCTTGCCAGTACCAGCCATGGTGCCCTACTCCCCCACCAAAAAATAATTAATGAAATGAACACCATTTTGTGCCAGCAGCTGGAACTGCTGCAAAATTGATGTCTGCTCATGCTGAGAACTGTGCTGTCAAAGGAGAGTTCAGAGTTCAGACCCCGCTGCTGCATTTTGCTCAATCTTTGGGGCAGGTTGCTTGTCCTTTTCCATTGCCTCTCACAACAGCCATTTGAGAGGGTGCCCAGGACAATTTCTCAAATTTGTCACAGTGTCAGGGATTTGGCTGAAAAGTGTTGCCCAGCCCCAGTGTAGACAAAACTAAGAGACCGATAGTCCAATATGAATTTCTTATTCGTTTCCTATTGTCACAAGTTAGGTTTCCCCCTTCTCACTTCCAAACCAACAGGCTGTTCCTTGGCAGAAAGCTCTTTATTCTCCAGTGCACTTCAGATAAGCACAACCAAAAAAGAATGAGTCTCTGAGCATGTGCAGAACAGCTCATTGAACCCAATCTAGCAACTACTTCTGAGAACCCTCTTTTTGAGTAAGTCTCAGTCCCATCCCTCTGGGAAGGCCCCCTTGGAGGCAGGCTACAACGATCTTCTAGTTGGCTACCCTTCTCTCCTGATGCCATGTCATGGGGCTCTCAAGGAACCACAGTTTGCTGTTTCATCCAACCTGGGATAAACCATGGTCTGCTTTAATGATGGTTTGTGCCAAAAGACCAATGACAAACAATGTTATTTACAATTTATATATTGCAACCAAAATGCAATGTACCTCTCACACTAACATACTGTAAGGCTAAATGCCTTTCCCCTGCCCCAAAGAGCTTACACTGAGAAACAGTGTTGTGCAGGGTTTAGATTGTTGGAGTGAGAAATCCCCACTTGTCCCCACTTGGCCATGAAGTTCAAAGGTGATTTTGGATCAGTCACTGATTCTTAACCTAACCTACCCCATAGGGTTGTTGTGAAGATAAAATAGGAAGGAGAAGGGCATGTATAAACCACACTGGGTTCCTTGAAAGAAGAAAAAGGAAAAAAGGTGAGATAGAAATGTAAAAATGATAATGTAACATGTTAAAAATGCTACAATCTCACTGTCAAGAGTGTGCAGGACCAGGGGAAGTGGTGTTGGGGAAGAGCAAGACTCTGAAGAAAACTAGATTTGGCCAGTTTCATTTACCTTAACTAAAGCAGAGTAAGATCTTCCTGTGAGTCTTGACACAGCAATACCAGATGAATTCAAGCAGGACACATTGTATAGTGCAATCCATTTAGCATATAGCATTCACTATTTTAATTAGTTTAAAACTTCATTATACCAATGCCATCATAAAACCACTAATCCA